TGTGTGTGTGTGTGTGTGTGTGTGTGTGTGTGTGTGTGTGTGTGTGTGTGTGTGAGAGAGAGAGATTGCATCGGTCTGTTGCCTCCACCATTAGTGCATCGCCTGTCATATTTGTTTTTGCGAGCGAAGCCGCAACAGGTCAGCTAGTGTACGGTGCGCCGGCTTCGGCGTTTTCGGAGTAGTTGACGACCAAGTCTCCACAAGGCTGGGGCCATGTTCTTGCGGTGTAAACCACCAGTACAACCGAGCCTGTTTTTGCCGAGGCAGATTCCCGCTGTGTGCAAAGCTTTGCGAAAACGCCAGCACAGTGCTTTTTCTTTTGGCTGGCTGCAGCAGCCATTTTGGTCCAGTGGCCCTGAGCATCCAAACTTCTCGGAACGACTCCTTTTGATTCTCTAGTTTGCCTGGACAATGTATTGGCGGTTCAAACACGCAGCTTATATACGGTATTCCAATCAGCTTGTAGGCTTTTACTGATGAGAACGGTTGTTGAAACGAGAATCCGAAAGGAGCTTTGGTTGTCGTATAGACAAAAAGAAAACAATTGCGTGAGAAAGTTGCATTACATGAAAGACCATGAGTTATTTGGCTTACGAAACACTGACGGACATACTCACCCTAGGGTGTTTTTATACTGATTGTGGCCATGATTAGGCCTAAATGCATCCGGAAATGTCAGATAAGGAATTAAAGCTGAACGGGTCTCCCGCATGTGGTATTTTGTGATAGGCATGAATGGGATCTCAGACGATGAAGAAAACCAAGATGCTTTGTCGTACACTTCCCTTGTCCCTGCTGCAATTGAAGTTGAGAATGGACGGGCCGGATGGCAGCGGAAGGTTTTGTGGCAGCAGGGTCAAACAGTTCCAAAGTCAACCAGAAAATCAAGGGAGAGGGAGCTGCAGGGCCAGGTGCGGGACCCAGGTTAGTGATCCTTCCTCGAGAAATTTGTCTTTTCTGATCCTAGTTCTACTAGAGGACGCCGGGGCGTTACAGCACTATTACCTTTCCCAGGCAACTTTGAGAATGAATATGGTAGCATTCTGAGTTCTTGGGAGGATCGGCGCTACCTGACGGAAATGGCTGGTGACACCATCCAAAAGAAGAGGGGGGGCGAAATGCCTTGCTGGCCCTTCGGCAAAGCTTGGCGCCAGGGGGAATACGCCTCCAGGAAAGAAGCGCAGAGGTAGTGGTGGTTCAAACCATGAGTTCTGTGGCTGGAATAACCTGCTTAGTCACTTTCCCATTCCCAGTTGTGCAGAATGTAGGGACATTAAATAAACCACTAGTACTTGCCCCAGCTATCGGCCGTGTGAAAAAATAGAGTAGAAACGTTTCTAGTCAGATGAATTTGGGGGCTCCTGTAGTGGTCCGTACGTTTCCTAAAATCGTGGCGCGTTAACGGGCACAACTCTAGGAAGTACTGGTGGTGGCAGCGGCAGTTTGTAAACCCAAGCGCATGCCGACTTCAGCAATTTTTTGCTCTGGAAATTGTGCGCAAAAAATTGTGAAAAGTCGGTCGGTCGGTCGGTCGGTCGGTCGATCGGTCGCGTTCGGTCGGTCGGTCGGTCGGTCGGTCG